GTTTTGGTTAAGGCTCGATTCGACGAAATTCGTGTTGTCGCGAAGTCAGCGGCGTGTCCTCCGACAAATGAATGAATACTTGAAGAATGACACGAAGCCCAGGAGTCACATACGAGAGGAAACACCACTTGAGATGACAGTAAGCATTTTGTGTCAGCATTGCTATTTATTTCTTTAGGCTACGAGTCGATCATGCTCACTTTAGAACTCTTCATCAAAGACAGCTCCGCGGATAAAAGAGTCCGGTGATTTCAAGTCCTCATCGAGGAAGGTTGTGGACAAGTCAGATAATCCCGTGCAGAAGAAGAAGGAAATCCGACGACAACGATGTTATGCTCGATGGCGTGCTAAGGGCTTGGATGTGGAAGAGATGAAAAAGGCCAGGATCGCTAAGGTGTGCTAACTTTTGGAATTTCATTAAACACCACTGATCCTCTGGGAACTCTGTTCCCTCTGAGCTAGAGATCGATTTCTCGTTTTCAAGGAAGAAGCACGACGGAGAACAGTCGAGTCGTACATTCTCGAGCCAGATGAATCATGGAAACACAGATTGGAGGTAATTTAGCCCATTTCGCACATTCGGAGCATAGGAATAGAATGCGTTGAATTGACTTTTATGGCCCCGTACTCTGACCCCGTGCAGTTTCGGGCGGGGGGACCACGACACATCGACAGCTGGGGGCTGATAGTCTCATACACCCTCAATGTGTTTGAGCGTACCATGTGTCTTAAGAACGCAGACTATAAGCTATTCCTGCGTAGCATTGAGGTCGCTAAACCCGAATTCTGTAGCCGCTGTTGAAAACCATTATGGACTTACCTGTCTGCTACAAATTTGTCCAAATAAAAGTGAATCGAGTGGAAACATCTTTCTACGTCCCATTTCAGTTTGGTTGAAAAATTCCATACGTGTTTAAAGAAAGACGTTTAATGAATGAATTTGAATGTCTTTTCCATTTTGCATTTGATTATGCTGCACGACCAAGGTAAAACAAGGGATTTGTGGAATAGCTGTGTGAGCCCGGTCCCTTCGTCTCTGTCTCACAATCTGCCAGACAGATTACAACTTGGAGAGGTCGGGTCAAGGTGGGGATGGGTAGAGCATGGGACAAGAAATAAAAAGCACACTTGACCTATGCGAAGCCCCGCCCACAGTGGGCGGGGCACTCGCTGAAATTTTGGGGTTCCGCAGAGAAATGTTCATAATTCGCTTCCGGAGCAGCCTGAAGATGGGGAAAAAGTTAATAAGGTTAGCAAGGAGTTGCCAGACTACCTGTGGGAGACACCCCCAAAATGGGCGGGGCGTACTCAAGGTGGGCGGTGCTTCTCATAAAACAGTAACCCGGTTCGCGAGAGTGTTTAGAAGTCGCAAAAAGCTCAGTGCAGAATGTAAATATCTGGCGAGTGTTGGGCACGCTCAAAGTGTGTTGAGACCCGCCCACAGTGGGCGGAGCTTGCCCTAAATCGCAGGATACTCATTTTAAAAGTTTGTAGCTCTCCAGAACACTCCAGAAACCGGAAAAAAGAGGATCAAGGTCAGCGAGAGCTGGGCCGATTGAGGATTGCGGGGCACAAACATAGTGGGCGGGGCCTGCTCCGAGGTGGGCGGAGTCATACGAAAAATCTGTAAGTTCCAGAGCACTCCAGGGACCGGAAAAAAGTGGATTAAGGTCAGCAAAGGGTCGCCAGTAAGAAATGTGGGGCACACATGTTGTGGACGCTGCCAGTCCGAGGTGGGCGGGGCCAGACAGAAGTTCTGTAAAACGGTTCCAGAGCACTCCAGGGACCGAAAAAGTGGATTAAGGTCAGCAAAGGGTCGCCAGTAAGAAATGTGGGGCACACATGTTGTGGGCGGCTGCCAGTCCGAGGTGGGCGGGGACAGACAAAAGTTCTGTAAAACGGTTCCAGAGCACTCCAGGGACCGGAAAAAGTGGATTAAGGTCAGCAAAGGGTCGCCGGTAAGAAATGTGGGGCACACATGTTGTGGGCGGTGCCAGTCCGAGGTGGGCGGAGACAGACAAAAGTTCTGTAAAACGGTTCCAGAGCACTCCAGGGACCGGAAAAAGTGGATTAAGGTCAGCAAAGGGTCGCCGGTAAGAAATGTGAGGCACACATGTTGTGGGCGGAGCCTGCCCGAGGTGGGCGGAGACAGACAAAAGTTCTGTAAAACACGGAAGTGGATGGTCAGGAGGGATCACTGTTTGATGCGGCACACAGCCGTTGTAGGCGGAGCGTGCGGCTAGGCGGCGGAGCCAAACGCAGAAATATAGAATGGTTCCATAACAGACTCCAGGCACCGGCAAAGACGAGCAAAAATGTGCAGGAGCTCCGCTATTGAAGCGAGATTTACGCGCCCATTCTGTGCGGAGCTGTGTCGATGTTGTGAGCGGGCAAAGGTCAAAAATTTGCGAATTAGTTGCAGAGCAGCATAGGCACTGGGGACAGGTGGATTGAGGTCCACAAGGGGTCAGCGGACAAAGTGGAGGAGACATCTCAAAAATGGGCGGGCTGCTTTCGAGATGGGCAGGCTCTTGCTGAAAAATTTCGTGGTTCGCATCTGAGTGAGCTTGGAGATCAGGAAAAACTTTTGGTGAAGAGAAACATATGGCGAGAGTTCAGCATGTCTGTGGTGTGTTGAGACCCGCCCACAGTGGGTGGAGCGTGTTTCATGCACGGGGTCCCTATTTTCACTGCGTTTTAGTGCATAGGTCGCCACACTTTTGAACACCTGTTGTCACACGAACATTTGATTCCAGTCGGTTCGCTGGCTGACGCCGGCGCGATTCCTTTTCTAATAAGGCCAGACTTTGCCGGTTGCTTACTTCGTCGCGCCCTCCCGCTTGCATATGTTTGAATGCTCATCTAATACCCGGTTTCTCTCTCATCTGCGCATTTGATCAACGCTGCTTACCACCATTCATAGACGGTAATAGTGTCGAAAATAGTAGGTATGATGTTATTGCTCAAGGAGCGTTGACTATGTGTACAGGTGAAGTAGAAGCCAGACCGGCGGGCTTACTGGTATTTTCATAGATAAACTTGGGTCTCTTCGGTTTCATTGTTGACTTGTTGATCTGTAGTTTCATGTTGTACGGCTTTAGGTAAAACTTGTCCATACTGGCAGCGAAGAATTCAGAAAGCGCTACAACGAGTCGTTCTTGCTTTACGAGAAGTATCAGAGAATAGTGAGTTAGGAGGATGTTTATCTGAAACCTTCCCTCTTGATGGGTCAGCTAGACGCCGACGCGGTTATCAAGACTTTTGCAGATCCATAAAGATAAAGATCCGTCGAAAGCAGGTTTCAAGCGTTTTCTCGTTGATACGCCATTGTTTGACGATGAACCGCTACCGTGAGTTTCACTGATGAGCTGTGACTTTTCACCTGTTCATCCTAATTCGAAGTTCAATTCAGATCGCCCGAGGGGTTGACAACTGGATCCTATCACCAGTGGTATATACTCGATGATAAACTCATAGCTGTTGGAGTGGTGGATATTCTGCCGAGATGCGTTTCCTCAAAATATCTGTACTATGATCCGGATTACTCTTTCCTCAGCCTTGGAACTTATACCGCTTTGAGGTTTGTTCTGAAAGTTTCGCCCCCAATAGAGTTCTATTCCGCTTAGTGAGTGAGCTGATCGAACCCTAATTTCTGGTTGTGATGGTACTTTTTAATAGCCCACATGAAAAGAGCTGGCCTCTTTCAGAGAAATAGCCTTTACTCGATTTGTGATGCAGCATCGACCGGAAACTAAGTATTACTATATGGGTTACTATATTATCACGTGTCCGAAAATGCGCTACAAAGGATCATTTCGACCGAGTGAATTGCTGTGCGATAGAACTTTTCAATGGGTTAGTTCCCCAAACTCATCTCGTTTTCAGGTTGAATTTGAATTTTGTCTCAGAGGGACATAACACAACAGTGAAAGACATTATTGGAATCGTCGCAGTTTCCCGCTACCTCAGACCATAAGATCGCCTGGTCACCACGTGGGGGTCTCAATTGCGCCGCTACAGTACTACGGAAAATGCCGCACCAACGAAGGATGGCCTAGAACCCGCACTTGCTACGAGCGCTCGTCTGCCGAGAAGGACCTGTTATCTTTTTTATCAGTCTCGCATTCTGTCAACTGATCTGGAGCCGCCGCGTCGTCGTTTGAGGGTGAGGGTCGGCTGCGCCCCCTAGTGAGGCGGTGAGGTTCGTCTCCCAAGATTAGGACACGGGTTTATTTTCGTTTTGTAAATGTAAATGTTATTATCGCAGAAAGCATAATTGAATAACAACTTGATGTGGTGTTTCTTGAAGTTTTCTATGGTCGTGTCTCAGAAAGACGCAAGACGACTTCAATCAGCGCATGTATTTCAACTCCCGGAGATACTGGCATATGCTACTAGTGTGTCCCATAAGTTTTTCAAGCTTTCGAGTCGAAGGAATCATCCGTTTAGTCCTCAAAACGACTACTTACCGCGAGCACTGGTAATCGCTAATGATCACTGATGATACTTCGGGTACGTTCAGGTGCCCAATAAGGAGCAAACGCAGCCTTTTCAGAAATAGCCGGTCCCCAACCAAATCCACTGCTCAGTCGCGTCCTAGATGTTAGTACTATTTTGGCTCTCTTTCTCCTCACAGCGATGTTGAAGAGTTTTGAAGATGTGACAAACGCTGTCTCAAGTCAGGAGAATGTGTGGGACGAGGCGATGGGAAACACCGATCCCCCATTACTGTGAAGAAGCCAGCGTTTTGTGTAGCCTTGTGGAACAGGAAAGACATTTTCCATATGATACACCGATGAATGGGCACTCAGGGTCTTCACCAGTTCGGTAGCAGTAGTGGTCACGGTTATGGTGTGCTAGAGTCGCTCAGAAGATCTACCTAAAAGTGGAAGATTTTACCACAGTAGTGATCTCGTCGAAAGTTGTGGTCGCAGTTCACTACTGGATGCAAATAATCTTGACCAGGACGTTTGAAGGACTCCTTGTGCAGAACCAGATTTGCCACAATGGAGGTAAGAATCGGTCTGGAAAGGGAGAAGGAGTTCCGGGCTGGGTGAAGCAAGTTCAGATAAGATAATTCTATTTGATGAATCTGTTAACATAGGGTCCCCTCAGTGCCTCCAAGATTATTAGTGCCATTATTCAGCTAATGGAGTTCACGAGTGCAAAGTTATCACAGGCGTCGGCTGTTCTCCGTTGAGCGCGAGAAGTCGGAAAAGTCCCTCATTGGGAGTCGGTCAACCTCTGATAGTTTC